TCACCAAACGGCACAGGGGCAGATCGGAGGAACGGTTTTAGTGGACTTCGAGCTATGATTTTTGCGGCGAAGTGTTGTAGGTGATGAGCGGACATGAGAAGATCAGCCTTCACAGAGGACGCCCACACCGCGGCGGTTTTCGGGCGGGACTGCTGGTCGCATTTTTCAGGGTGCCACATGACAGGCGGAGAATGGCGGGCCATGGGAGGCCACTCCTTCCCAGCCGTGCAGGGGATGAGCGGAGCGAGTGTTTACCATCGAAAGCGACACATGACGATGACGGCCATATCCAGGAACCCCACCCGGTGGCGACCGTTTGTCGCGGTGGCGACCGTTTGTCGCGGTGGCCGCGCCGTTTCTGGACTCGGTATTGATGGTTGACCTCCGTCCCGCCTGGCGCACGAAGGAGCCCTGAAAGCCCTGCAAGGTCATGCGGATGGCACCTTGGAAGCTGGGTTGGTTGCTGGAGTATATTAAGTTAGGGGGCCCCCCAGCTGGTCCTCCAAAAATCAGGCGGCTCGAGGACGCAGCATCTCTACATGGCTGTGGGTCATGACGGTCATGTCAAACCGAAACAATCTGGCAATGAACAGAATAGGGGACCGTTGAGGTCAACCAGCTCCAGATTGAGCAAATCACTTGTTGACTTGCTTTTTGTGGAGATCCTCCTTAAGCTGAGATGGTACACCTGATGGGTTCAAACTGCTTGTGTTTGGTTCTGGGTGACATGGGTGACCAAAGCAATACTGGTTAGCACAGTGAGTCCCCCAACTAGACCGTTGGAGTCAGCTCGTTTGGCTGGCCGCACTCAAGGATGGCCCGTATGTCAGGTCATGAGATGTCAACAGGTGCCGTGCCCTGGGCAAAAATCCCTTCGATGAGTAAACCATATACCCATATAAACCCCTCAACCACCCTCATACCTTGCCCATCCCTTGACCCCAACCCCCCTAACCTGCCACCTCTCCTCGATCGAGGGAAGTACCCCGGCATGCGCATTGCGGTGGCCAGCAGCGCGGACACGCCCTTCGCGGAGAAGGTCGGCCGCAAGGCGCTGTCCATGTTGGAGGCCCGCGTCGCAGCGCGTCGCGCTCGTCGCAGCTCGAGGTTCGAAGGGATCAGCTTCGATAGGGTTTGTTAACATGTTTTAACTCCATGAGATTCACGTACAGTGAGTGAATGAATTTTGTGGTTCTAAAACCTCCAAGCTGGGAGCTTCTTCTCCATCATCGCTCTGGAGTCTCCTTTCTGGTTTTCGACCGCCTTGCTGCGACGAGGTGCTTCCGGGGCTGACGGTCTGGCAGATGCTCCTGCGCGACTGGGAGGGCAGGGACGTGAACCAGATCGGACACTCGGTAGACTGACGGGTCGGAAGGTTCGTTTTTTTCGGTCTGGGGAGGCGTGGGGTGGGGAGGGGGAGGGGACACCCCCAGCTACTGATCTCGGTGGGACGGAGACGCGCATCCCAAAACCAGCCATATTTAAGTGTTTGGCACCCACTGCTTCGATCCTTCTGGTTGATGCTGCATTGCTGCACATGAAGATGCTTCACGAACATGATCATTATAGGGTTTATTCCAAGGACAGATGCCTCCTCTCCAGTCCACCGCCTCTCTGGTCACTTCGAAGTCACCGAGGACGTCAGCCGCCCTTGTCTTCCAACAAGGCGAAGACGCACTTCCCGCGGCTGAAGGACAGTAGACTCAGACCCAACCGGTGGCGATGATGGGGGGAGCATTCGCTTCTAAGCAGAAAAGACATGAACGCAGGAGTTTCACAAGATCAAACTCGTGGAGGGCGAAGGAGGGCGGTGAAGATCCCGGAGAATGAAGAGTGGTAAGTAGCTCAAAGTCTCAACGACCTGTATTCGACTGGACTGGTTTCCCTTGTGGCCTTGACAAAGTGTTAGTCACCAAGTCAGCGGGCCGTAGCCCTGTAACGCAGGACGCAGAACGCTTTTTGACATGCCCTGCCGCCCGGAAGTGGATATGCGCATCGATGTGTGAATCACTGCACTGGGGGCCAGAACACTGGCCGGATTGATAGCGCATTCCCTGCGAACATTGGTGGGCCAGAGAAAACTTGAAGCCATGAAGGAACATCCCCTTCCAAGAAACCATCAAGTCCTGGAAATTCATGTGTTCATACCACAACTTTACAAACAGGTACATGGTCTTGCCCAGACTTGCTGATTGGGGCCAGAGCTCGGCGCACCTTTTTGGGCACCTGTTGTTACCTTTCAGAAGTGACTTCGCAAACAGGCAGGCACAGGTCTCTCGTGACAGGCAGGTTCTAGCTGCTAGCTTTCAGAATTGAACGAACCATTCTATTCATTTGAAGGTCACCCAGCTCATCTGCAAACAACAAGGTATCTCGATCTTGGAGGGTCTCGATCTTGTACCTTTCAGGGTTGAAAACAGCTCATTTGGTGCCAGAAGGAGGTCCATGAGGGTCGACCTGGCCTGGCAGGAAGCGACGGGTGTGCCCTTTGACCGGATGCCGCATGGCCTGCACAGACAACAGGGTCCCAGGCTGGAGTACAAAGAGGCAAACAGCACAAAAGGCAGTGAAGTGGACAATATAAATCACTCCATTTTGATCCATTTTGCGACGTGACTCTTGACTGACTGGAAAACACTTCATACTTTGCGGACAAGAATTTTGGGACTGCTTAGCACCGCTTAGCACTGCCGGTGGCCGCAAAAGCCCCAGCTTTGCATCTGTAAAAACGACGATGATTCAATGACAGATGAAATCAAAGCGAACAACATATCAATCATCAAGACAACCAAAACCAATGTTATTGTTACATTCTTCTTTTCTCTTCCAGCTTTGACCGATGCCTTGGCTGCCTTAGCTCCGTGCTTCTCCGATTCAAGGCTTTTCTTCGACGATTGTCTCTGGAGCCTTGGTGGCAGAGATGGGTGGCAGGTCATGCGTTGGAAGCCGGGTGAGCAGCAACCCAATAGGATTTAAGGCCCAACCATATTATTCTAAAGGGCTTTACATGTTTTTTGGTGGTCCTTTTATACTTTCTATTTGAACAAACGTTCGTTTTGCAATATAGGATTTGGGACTCGAAAACCAGGTCAACCTTTACTTTTTGGGTTTTGGAAGGGGTAAAGACATCTATAACAACCATACCCTTGGCGTCGGGAACACGGTCGCGGGAGGGACCGGGACCGGTACGGTCCACGGTTTGAACACGCGGATGATGGACCCGTCATGAAGCCTTTAAAAAGGAAAATACGAGATTTCAAGGGTTCTTCCAATATGAACCTTTATGTTGTTCATATTACTGTAACATGTGGCAGTTTGGTTTGTTTTTTTTTATCTTAGTTCCAGGATGTTCCAGGTGGTCCGTGGTCCAGGAAAGGAGCTCAAGCGCATCGAAAGGACCTATGGGGACCGGAGCCGGAGGGTGGGGCAGCTTCGCGCTTCGCCTCTCCACTGCTTGGGCTCATGGCCATTGGTCCCTGAAAACGAGGGGATTTGGCCAGCTTTCAGGCAGCCAGCTCAATAGATCGAATCAAAGTTCTATTGTTGATGGAAGACATCTTAGCACCACCACCCACAGGGACGAATCTCAGATGGCTAGTTCAACAGTATCAGCAGATCCACTAACAGTCACTAACCACTTCCTCCTTCATTGTTTGCCTTTCCTCGAAATGAAGAAGACCTCCACATGTCAGCGGAAGTTCCATTGGATCGAAACCCAAACATCATCAGATTCCACCAGAAAGAACCGTCTCCCTCTGGTCTGAACATGTCTGAAAACCCTATCACCATATCTATCTTCCTCACCCCACCCCTCGCTCCGCCCGGACTCCTGCGCTAGTCTCAGGGGCGACCACTGTGGCATGGTGGCGCAGCACTGCCGCGAGGCCAATCAACAGGGCGTGGTCACCGTGCGGCGCCTCGGCGGAACGGCTCACGGAGCGGGTGGGTGGCTCCGTTTGGAAAGGGGTCATTTTGGTGGAAGATGGTGGAGGGTTTCGTGGATTTCTGTGCCGGTTGGAATGGAATCGCTCGAAACAGGGGCGGATCAGCTGAGTTGCGTAGATCTTGGAAGATCCGGATCCCACACAAGCCGGAACCACCACAGGCCATGTCACCTCCCCACGCGTTCCGCGCGTTCCCGGCGCCTGGTGAGGACGCCCAGTGGCCTACAGGAGCGCGAATGGCAAATGGGCCTGAGACGCTACGAGGAAGAGCATTGAGGAAGCGTCGTCGAGTCGCGCAGTGCAGCACATCGCCAGCGGCCAGCACTGCAGTGCTGCTTTGGGACCCGGCGTGGAGTCGCAATCGCATCGATTTCGAAACGAAAAGGGTGCGACGTGTGAGAAACAGCTGCTCAGAGTAGCATGGGAGCTGGTGACCTTGCAGCATGCGTAGAAAGGAAAGTGATCTTCCTTTCATTTCCATTCTTTCAGGGTCACGTGGCTGGACTGAGCAGGCAACGGGCCCTACTGTATATACTTACGGTAATTAGAAGCTTTTGTTGGAGTTTGAACGTGCACAAAGACACTCCAAACACCCTCCAAAGGATTTAGCTCCAGGAGCGGCAGTGAATCACTTTCAGGCTCAGCAGCTCTCCGCATTCTCCTGAATTTGGCACGAGAATCTCCACCTGGATGGACATCGACCCATTTTTTCGGCCAGGATCAAGACGGCAGCCCCTCAATCACCATGGCAGTCCCAAGAACCGGAGAGTCAACACTCTTGTGATCCAGCCCTACCACCTTTTGAAGGAAGAGTTCTTGGAGATTACGTTCTAGATGGATCATATATGGCCAGCTTTCGTGGCTTTCGGTGTGCAAAACATGTGTTTTTGCCGCATGGATTCCTTTTTTGCCAGACTACTGATGACATCGAGCAAAATTCCTGTTCTTTTATTTGCTGCCCTTGTTCCGTCAAGGATCTTTCTCATTCTTGATCCACAGTCTGACAGTAGCTGTCCCCTTTCCCCAGCCGCCCGCCCTTCGCGCCCTGGGCGCCAGGCCTCCCGATCGATCAATGTGCTGACACCTCTCTCGGCAGGCGAATGAAAGTCTGGAAACGGAGGGTGGCCTTGACTGCTTCATTCATGCGAAGCACAGATGAGAGCAGGGTACAAGAAGCCCATCTTCTAACTTCTGATACTTCTGATGTATCGTGATTTGTGATGTCCAAGAAAGACTTCCCATGTTGTAATCTGACTCCAAAGGCAAACTCATTGCATCAGCTGTTGAATTTCAACTTGCCTCTCAGTTCAACCCACCCAAAGCAAAAAAGACCAGGCTGGTTGACCCCGTGGTTCTTCTTGTAGCGAAAAAACATCTCCCCTACCGCCGTGTTGGTGGTTTCACTTCGCTCATCACCAGGCGCCAGCACCTGGCTCCTGGCCATTCAGGAGAGACGTGGAATCCCCCCGACACTCGTGCCGCGCGATGTCGAGGGTCGCATGGAGGCCAGGCGTGTTCGTAACCGAAGGCCAGGCCAGGGAAGTGGTTCGGCCAGGTGTAAACAGATGTAAACAGCCAACATGCCTCGTTTGGTGAGGATACACATGCCTCGAATTCCGGTAGTTTGGAGATTTGTTCTTTTGATTCTACTGTGTGAGCCTTGCCATTGCCATAAGAAAATACAGCTACAGACTCCGGTGGCTGCGGCTAAGTGCTGTTCTAAGATTTACGCATCATAATTGGATATGTTCGACGCAAAGGTGAACGACATGTAAAAACCTGCTTTCACCTGTCCATCGCTACTAGGTGGAGGCCATCGGCCCTTGCACGGTTTCGTCGGCGTCGGTATTCAAAGGATTGATACATATCGAGACGATAAACATGGAAGACCAAGATCAAAGGCCTTAGCACCACACCAACAGCTCGTCTCAAATAGCGACATGAAAGCTCACACGAAGTGCTGTGTTTTGTGTCAAAGCAGCACATGTCCCGAAAAGCAGAGTGGAGGAGGAAAGCCCGAGATCAGCACCTCACCCACGAATGGAATTGGTATACGGAAATGAATGACACAATTTGGATTCTCAATATGACATTATGGCAAGATGTAAGTAAGGCAGAATCAGTGGACCTCCAAGAATAAACCCGTTGGCCCACCCAATTGTGCTCAGCCATCAACGTGGGCGGCCAGCGCCCAGGAGGCTTCAGCCCGGCGGTCGTACCAGGACCGTTTCCCCAACATGGCCGACGAAGAAGTGAAGGAGCACCCGGTACGTACGTGAGGTTGAGATGGATGGGGCACGGTGGAACAGTCGGATCCCCAAACCGGCAATTTCAACCATTTAGGATTTTCCTTTGAGAAGGTTCTTCTTGAACAAGGTCTTCTTTTCCCACTGACGACACGGTTTCTGGCCACACCAAGACTTGCGGGGTCTGTTCCCACCTTCTGAGAATGACAGCAGCCTGCTGTCACAAGATCACGAGGTGTTACGGTGCTGCATGAGATGTTCTTGGGCTCAAAATGTCAGGGTCTTGCGTGGTCTTAGGATCATGGCACTTGCATGGCTTTTGCCCGAACTTTGGCAGAACGCCGGGCTGTGAAGAGACAACATCATGTCGTTTCTTTTCAGATGCACCCTCACAACCCAGGTTTCCACTTCAGAAATCACAGCCTATTCCAGGTCCATTCCGAAAAGCCTATTCGCCGCCGCATACGCACACGGTCTTTCACATTCTTTCACCCGTTTCTGTGTCATCCCACCTTCTTCACAGCCCAGGAGATTTATGACAAAGCTGGGGACGGGAGTACCTACGACGGCATCAGCCACTGGGCACGATCCACAGGGACGGATTCGGCGGGACCTGGACGGAGGGATCGAGGTGGCGGACGGGTGTGAGTGGTTTCGGCGAAGAAGAAGCGGAAGTGGTGAAGATGGTGGAATGTTTCGATGCGGAATCAAATTCGTCGATTGTTCGTGGGTTTCAGATGCCTCCGATTCTTTTGTGGTAGGCTGGTCAATGAGTCAGCTTTTGGTGCTTCAGTGTGCATCGGGATCACAGTGGTTCTATTTCGGATGTCGGAATGTGGTCTGTGGCCAGGTGGCTCTGAAGTCTCCGGCTATTTTTGCTTGGGGAGCTTTTTTCGGTCTCCAGCAACTGAAGTGTCGAATCTGACCATTGCCATAATCCAAACCACTATAGCTTGTGGGTCAATGCTTGGTCAAAGCATCAGTGTCGACTCTCGACCCCGGACCGGCGCGGAGAAAGAAGACGAGGTCCGGAGAGACCGATCGGACCGGCGACGACCGCCGAGGCGCGGAGCAAGCGTTGGCCACCCTTGGAATGGCCCGGGAAGCCCGGACCGGAGACGCGGTTCGACGCGGAGACGCGCAGTGCGGTCCAGCGCGGGTGGACCACGGGTGGAGCACCGGCTTTGGTTCTTTTTTTCGGTTCCCGGCCCCCAGGAAGGTGGTGCAGGAGCGATTTTCGCATGGTGCGTGGAAGAAAGAGATCGAGGTCGAGTCGACGTGGAGACAGATGAGACACGGCAATCTTCGGTGAGACGCATGACCCATCAAATTGGCGGGCATAGGCAAAGTGATGACAATAGTCAAAGCATTAGATGTTGGGGCCAGCTGTTGGGGCTACGACTTCTCTAGTTGTCCCTGATAGCCTATACTGTATGTCACGTTTCGGTGCCTAAAACGGTTTCGACCACAGGGGGTATAGGATTCGGGCACAGCGAGAAGAGCGGAGAAGATACACGCCAGCATGTATGAGTTCCAGAGATGGTGTGCAAATTCTTTACTGTATGTCTATATTTTTAAAACTTCTTGTAGTTGTGAACCAACATGTCCCATGATTCAACATGGTCTCAGCAAGAATTGCAACGGACGCTTCCTATTTCAGAGAGCCCAAGACCAGCCAGGCCAGGCCGTTTTTTCCCACCTTGCCATCTCCAGATGTGGGAAGCTTTCCCAACTCTTCCCCTAGTGGACTTCCCCGACTTCGACCCGGTGCAGAGCCCACCCCACACATTTCATCACAGTCTAGTTGGTTAGTTGGTTTCCAGCAATAGCTTGAAGTCTTGTAGACCTTTACATGGCATGCTTTAGGCACTTTGTTTGGACATCCTAGCATCATCTACCATCTACATGAAAGACTACTGAGCTTTTCGGCAGGTGAGTGTATCACTCCCCCGAAAGACCGATGACCAGAGAACCGATCCGGAAAACCGTGTCATTCCTTTTTCTTCTCAGAAACCGGAGCAGCAACCCAACCTGCAACCTGGACAGAGCGCAAACACCCTGTCACTCGGCGACGAGCGAAGCTTAGATCCCCAACTTGCTGGTCCTCTTCCTCTTCGCCGCGAGAAGCCCAGGGACCGTGAGCCGGGAGCGACGGGTAACCGGTCCACGGAGCCGACCTGTGAGGAGACCGGCGGCGGCTGAGAGGTTGGAAGACGGCCACCAACCGGTGCAACCCTCCTGCCACTCTCCTTAGCGCAGAGCACTTTTCTTTTTGGGATCAAGAATTGAATGTGACACTGATTGTGTAGATATGGACTGGCTTGTGGCCCAGTGAAGCAGGTGCTTTGATCCAGACACCTGGGAATGTTCAATTCCAACAAAGGGGGTGCTAAAAATGCCATAACTATTGCGGAAAAACTGCACCGCTACTGCAATCACCACCAAACATTCCACAGACCATGATATAACTTCCACTTAAGGACCAGATTCTGCCTGGGCCGTTCGACCATGGTGGATCAGAGAATCACGAACCATTTCGGTGGGTGGATTGCGTGGAAGGGTGGTTGGTCGATTCGGTGAAGCTTTGGTTCGCGGGAGAACGGTGGATCCGTTGACTCCGACAGTTCGCCGGATCCGCGTGGACGAAAGGGACCTTCCTTTCCAGGGCGGCATCGGTGCCTTCATCCGCCGGGGCGGAGGCGGAGCGCCTTTTTGGCGCGTGCGAGAGGAGAATCGCGTGCGAGCGCGAGGAGAACACAATGGGACGTTAGACATGTTTGGTTGTTTCACGTGTTTCTTTTTCTGGATATAAAAATTTTGCCAGCTAACCAGGGTTCCAGTTTGTAACCAGGGTTCCAGTTTTTCAAGCTCAAATAGTGCCAAGAATGATGCAAGTTAATCAACAACATTAAACCAAAACAGTGCAAACCACCAGCAACAAAACACTCAATACAACAAGAACTTTGCAACAAGGAGTGAGCACAAGGCACAAAGGACTAGCCGCTGACACAAAACAACACGCTGCATGTGCACAAAGCATTTCATTTTCTCCATCGCCACCAGCACTCATGTCCAAGAGGCGCAAGCTATTACACAAAAATTGACACTGCCATTTATGGCACTACAGGCTCTCATCATGTTCAACCATTTCTTCTTCTCACCCTCTAGGGGCAGGTCATCACTCGAATCCTTGGCATTCCTAGTGGTAGGTTCCAATGCTTCTCTCTCCGCGGCATCAAGCAATGCATCCTGCCAAGTTCAAGCGGTTACAAATGGCTAGTTGGCAAGTTCATTTAGTGCAGTGACATAACATCATGGTTAACTGAGTGGTTAACTGCTTGTTCAATCACAAATGTGCAGAATCCAAGACAAACAGTGCACCGCAACCTTCATCAAAACTGCTGACGTTGCATCCCCCCTTGTTCTTCAGCAACTCCTGCTTCAGCAACTCCTCGCATGGGCAAATCAACCACTGACACATGAGGCTAGGGCGGTGACATGCGGTGATGGTTGTGCACAAGTGTGTGTCAACATGTTGTCGTTGACATGGGCTGTTCAGTAAATGCAAGCAAGTGGCTGCGATCTCGTGAAACTTTGTGTCTGGCACACCATCTCGAGGCATCATCTTTCAGGGCTGAACAACATAACATGACATGAACCTGCTGCAGCTGGCTTCTTCAAGACTGGCTGCGGGTCTACCTGAGATTCCTGAGGTTTTGTTTCTTCTGGCTGACTCCTCTCATTCCTGGCTGATTTGTCCTTTCGTGGTTTCTGTGCACTCGCTTTTGCTTTGCCTTTTGCTTTGGCTTTCGGAGAAGCCTTGGCCTTTGGAGATTTCTTTACAGAAGCCTTCGGCTTTGCTTTTGTTGTCTTCGGTTTCGGTGTTAGTTTCGGCTTCCTGCTCTTACCCCACCGTGCAGCCTCCTCATCAATCTTGAAACATGAGGGCGACTTGCCCGAACCACATCCAAAAAGGGCGAGTACTACACTACAACTTCGCACGCGAGAGGGGTGCTGCAGGTCCAAGCAACTAATGTAGCAGTGCGTGAGCGAGTATGTGCTGTTGCTTAATTAAGCATGCTGGAAATGCAACCTGAGCCCACGAGTTGTTGTGCAGTTGTTTGTTTTTCTCAAGGCGCCAACGGATCTAGATGCTACTTGGCCGGTAGTTTATCAAAACCTTATTCTGTCGACTTCCAGGTGTTATGCAACCGCTACCCCATCTCCTCACTGCCTCAACAACAAGTGGAACCACCGTCATTGCATTTGTTGAAGCTAAATGTCATAGCCCTGAAGACATGAACCATAAAAGTCCAAGCAGTGATTGCATTGGCCACCCTTTACAGCAGTTGATCCCTGATTGAAAAATTCAAGACAGCTTACATGCTGTCCGTGCGTTGAGTGACACACGCGCTGTCAATGAAATTTTGGCCTTGACGCCCACAATGCAAGCCGGAGCGGAATTGTCCACCCGCACCTGAGCAATGTTACCCCTTTGACCCGCAAAACAATAACCCACAACAAGCTGCATTTACAACTTGTGTGACACGCTTTGTGAGGTTCTTACAACACCTCCCACCGACTTAGGCACAAACATCCCAGGTCACAGCACAGTGCTTGTTGGTCAGCAACTTGGGCAACTGGCCGTCTTTGACGAACAGCTGTCCCATCTGAGAAGCACGAATATTCTGCAAGTCGACATCACCGGGCAAAGGCTTTTGTTCAACAGCGTGAACCCGTTGCTTTGGTTGAATCTTGTAATGGAAGTTCAGCAACTGTTGCACATTGGCCAAAACCGGAACTTAGAACTTAGTAAAGTCCACAGAAAGCACATTGTTCCAACATTGTCGGGGTGCCAAACAGAGGTACTAACAGAGGTGAACAAAAAGGGTGTAGCAACTACGACAACAATAACATCACAACTTCGACGTACAACTTGTCCACACTTGTCCTGCGCCTGTTCCATGTCACGGTCTGCAATAAAAACCAACTCCTTGCCATCCCTCCCCACCCAAGCCACCAAGCATGCATCATATTTAACCAAGAAGGGCAGGGAATCTATAGGCGGTGCTGTTGCTACGCCTCAGCTCTTCATGTGCGGGCGCCCAGATCACAGGAGTGTGTTGTGTGTTGGTTTGTTCAAAACTCTGCAACACCAACCCAACACTTCAGCACACAGGTACAAGCTTTTTCCATCTCCATCGCACATGTGTACATTGTTGTGGTTGTCACTTTAAGAACATGATGGTGGAACATTCATGGACTGTTCATGGAACACAGTAATTCTACTTGCTTTTGTTTGTATTGCGCAACAACTCAGCAACTTTGAAGCACACTGGTTGAAACTACACAACCTGTACCTTCCACCAGTTGATTACTGTATGTTACTGTTGATGCACGTTAATGACATGAACCGGCCGTGGCACCCAAGGCAAACTCCTTGAAAGATCCAACGTTGAAGCCGATGAGTTCACCTGCCTGGATCTCAGCGTTCGTTTCACCCTCATTCACCAACCACAAGTCATAGCTGTTTGTGAGGCAAATTTTGACTGCTGGCAAGCGGGGGTATACTGCTGTTGCCATGATCCTTGGTAGTAGTTTAAAGTAAAAATCGTCGCCAATCAGTAAGCAAGCACTGAAACTAAATTGCATGCAACCACTTAGCTGGCATGAACTTGAAACAATCAGGAAACAAGTAAACACAGACCTCAGCCTCAAAATGAACACAGCCTTCAACACACAGACCCGTGGCGACAAACAAGCGTAGAATGATATAGAGGTACAGAATGAACACAACTCTAAATTAAACACGCTGAGCTTTACTGATGCACAATGAACATCACTGCCACAGTCTTCATGCAGTTGGCACACTGGTGTGAGTTTCGGAAATCTTGTGCTGGCAAGCTCGCATGTGACACATCCAAAGGCTTGTCCTGGTCAGTGAACTGTGGCAGGCACGCTGTCCGGGCGGGAGTATTTGTAGGCGTGAACTGTCACGGTTCCAGAAGCCTGTGTTCAAGCTTGTGTTGAAGCTGGTGTTGTTGCCAAAGCCCTTTTCACCTTTACTTGCGTTGGCGTCGACAACTTGTTGTTCCAGCCACTTCAGCTTGGCAGCGTGGGGGGAATCTACCTCGAAGCGATTCTTCAGGGCATCCGGGATCCTCAACAATTAGTCAGTAGCGTGCGGACACATGAACAACAACCACATTGAACGATTATATATATATATATAGAGCCCTTAAGCTTGAGGAGGCCATTGACTGTGGTCAACGAAGTCAGACTGGGCTCACTCGCCGAGAACCCAACGGTTTTGGGACCGGCCTGTGGACAGGTGTCCCACCACTCCTGTACAAAATGCCCGATGTCAACGTATACAAACAAGAACCAACCAACACCAACACATTCATGGAACAAGGCTCACCACAAGCATTCAAAACACAACACAAAAACCATCATAGAATCAAGTCAACAACATGTTGCAAAGCCCCGCTGTCCTCCATTGCTCGTCCCAACTTAAGTGGGGGGGGTGCTGTTCGATAGTGGGTACGGATCGATTTGAGATCTTGGACAACGGGGTCGTTCGATCGCCTACGATGTGATCACGCCGGGAGACCCTCCAAAACCACCGTATAGCTGTGTGCGCCCTGCCTGAGCGTTGTACTCGTGTTTGCTCTCCCAAGTGTTGTTCAGCTCCTGCAAACATGCTGACTCCGACGGCGCCCAGTACTGCGCCCCGCAGCTCCACATGGTTTGACTGCATGCTCCTGGCCTTGCTACTACGAAGCAAGGACGCTACTAGGGTCTCATGGCATCGCTACTAGGAGCAAGGACGTTACTAGGGGCTCCTGGCAAGGGCGCTACTAGGGTCTCCTGGCCGTACTACTTGGAGCAAGTAGCTACCAGTAACAAGAAGCTATTAGGAACATTATCCAAGTTTTCCCAGTTTGCTCCCCAACTTCAATCTTCCTATTTGCCTATACCTACTTCGCCAATCCAATGCCCATACCAATGCCAGTACCGATCAACAGACCCAAGCAGTTCAGTGTTCGCCCCATGTTTTTCCATCCACATTGACTGCAGCACTCCAGCGGGACTGCAGCACGATTTCATTCCAAGATTCATTCCAAGATCCAATTCCCCCGATCGTGGTCACACAAACCAAACCACCAACATGAACCCTGACACAAGAACGAAAAAAACAACCCACACACACTGATCATCAGAGCTATCTCACCTATGTGACCGACGACCGACCGGCAGGATCAATTCTGCTGCTCTGCTCCCTTTTGAAGCAAAGCAGCAAATCAAGCCACAGCAATTCGCGGCTGTCGCGGTCGCGAAAACTCCAAACCACATGGCTCCATGACAGTGAACAGGGCTCGGTCACAGTCACAGGCTACACTGTGACAGGTCCAGTCTAGTGTAGTCAGTGTAGTCCATTTTAGTTCATCGAAATCCATTGATGGAAGTTCACCGTGAAGTCAACGAACCATTGTGCCCTTCATGTGACCGACAAGCAATTCCCTTGGCTTTCTGCCAAATAAAGACATTTCGGCAGTCTGCCAACATTCCGACTCCAGGCTGGAATTAAAATTTCAATCCTCTGGAGCGAAGATGATCGTCCAACCATCCTCATCATTCGCCTCCGCCTCCTCATGAGCCTCATTGGCCAATGCTGCCTGTGGTGGAGCAGGCAGAG